CAGCAGCAGCAGCAGCAGCAGCAGCACACCCTCTAGACCTTCGATTTTGGAAGAAAGTGGTTGGTGGCCATGCCCGGCTGCCGACCTCAGCCGCGCGCAGAGTCGGAAAGCCTGCAGAGGACAGCGACCAACTGCAGCTCCGTGCCCGACCCTCGACCCGCGATCCGAGCCCTTCGCTGGTGCCATCCTGTCTGCTCCGATTCGAGCATTTTCAAACCATCGAGGCTGACCCGTGCCTCTCTCACAGCTGCCCGATCGTCCCCTCCTTCCTCACCCAGGACGCCTTGGATCAATGCCGCAATGTCACAATCATCGAAGGACCAGAGCTGAACTTTACGCCTCCGTTTGACTTTGCTTGGATGGCAGTTGTGTTACGCAAGACGGCTTCGCCGCCATCGGACCCGTTCAAATTTTTGGTTTTGGCGGGACTTCCGAGAGCTGGAAGAATTCCAACCCAATTTTTTTGCGCGGCCTTCTTCCGATGAGCTGCTGATCGGGAACAGATCGTCGCGATTCCTGCCCCTCTTTTGCTCGATCTGGACCCGCTGTAGTTGGAGGCTGCGCCAACGCGCGCTCCTCCTAGCAAATCGCAACGACGCAGCAGCCACGGGTCTCGGGAAGTTCGCAGCAGCTGCGACTGAGCAGTCGCGCAGGCGTGTGTGCGTCTCCGACCGCCCTCACTCTCTACAGGCACACACAGATCCCTCCCTCGCTCCCCCCATCCTCCGACGGCTTTCCTCTTCAGACAGGAAAGCAGTCCTCCAACACATAGCTGTGGAGACGATCGCATTTGCTAGCATCGCCGTCACTGCGTCACGCGTCTTCTCGCTCCATCGCCATCCTCCACTCCCTGCGCCTTCTGCTGGGCGAGAAACGACCTCCTTCGCTCGAGCCTCGAGCTCTGCCATCGACACGCTACCACAGGCATTCACCGTGACGTTCGACTGCCAAGATGGATGACGATCTCGACGTCAAGCGCGAAGACCAGACCACGCGGTCTCTGGACGGAGGCTCCGGGAACGACAGACCGAGGGTGCAACACGGCGGTAAGAGGCTTCCCGTCGACCCCTTCGCAGAGGACGATGATGAGGAAGATGATGACGATGACGAAGATGACGACGAGGACGACGACGATGAAGACGACGAAGATGACGACGAGGAGGATGCGCGCGGCAGTCGAAGGCGCGCCAAAAAGCAAAGACGCAACCGCTTCCTCGATGTCGAAGCCGAAGTCGACGACGACGAGGAAGACCTGGACGAAGAGGAGGAGGAGCTGGCGCGAGAGGATGGCTTCATCGAGGAGGACATCCCCGATGACACCGAAGACATCCAGAGACGCGCCGCCGCCGACAACCAGAGGCTCGACCGCTTCCGAAGACAGGAGGAGGACACCAATGCAGAGGCGATCGCAGAAGAGTTGCGTCAGCGATACGGTCGCTCTGCTCGCTATGCTGCCCAGTCAGACTATGCCGAGGTGCCCCAGCGCCTCCTCATGCCCTCCGTCGAGGACCCCAGCTTGTGGGGCGTTCCGTGCAAGCCCGGCAGAGAGAGAGACATCGTCATGACGCTCGTTCGCAAGGCCATGGCCGAGAACTTCACATCCAATCCCATGCGCATCATCTCCGCCTTCTGCCGAGACACCATCCCCGGCAAGGTGTACATCGAAGCCCGCAGAGCAGACGACGTCGTCAAGGCCTGCAACGGTCTCGCAGGTGTCTACGCTCGACAGACCACCTCGCTCCACCTCATTCCCATCTCCGAGATGGCTGACTTGCTCAAGCTCCAAAAGGTGCAGAACGAGATCCAGGTCGGTGGATGGGTGCGCATCAAGCGCGGCAAGTACGCCGGAGACCTGGCTCAGGTCCTCGACGTTTCCGAGAACGGCGAGGAAGTCGGACTCAAGATGATCCCGCGAATTGACCTCAGCCCCAAGGACAGTGGCGTCTACACCGACAGCCTTGGTCGCAAGCGCAAGAAGGGCGCCGGCGCCTCCGCTGCCACCGTCGCCTTCCGACCGCCGCAGCGCTTCTTCAACCCCGAAGAGGTACAAAAGGCATACCCCAAGGACACGCCCACCAAGCGTGGCACCGTCTGGGTCTTCCAGAACGACAGCTACCGCGATGGCTACCTCGAGAAGGACGTCAGAGTCACCGGCATCATCACCGAGAATGTCAACCCGACCCTCGACGAGATCACCAAGTTCGCCGGCGAAAGCTCAGCCGAGGACGGCATGTCCAAGCTCGGCGCCGTCGATCTCAGTCTGATCGCCGACGCGAGCAAGAAGGCGACCGAGGCGCTCCTGCAGCCCAAGGACCAGGTCGAGATCTTCGAGGGTGAGCAGGCCGGCATGTACGGTACGGTCAAGGCGATCAACAACGAGGTCATCACCATTCAGCTCGAGCACGAGGACTTGATGGACCAGATCGTCGAGGTGCCCGCTCGCAGCGTCCGCAAGCGCTTCAAGCCCGGTGACCACATCAAGGTCATGTCCGGCAAGCATGCCGATGAGACCGGTCTCGTGGTAAAGGTGGAGGACAACGTGACGACGTTCCTGTCCGATCTGTCGATGCAGGAGGTCTCGGTGTTTAGCAAGGACATTCGCCAGGCCGCCGAGGTGGGCTCCGGTGTCAACGTCATTAGCGGCTACGAGCTGCACAATCTCGTCCAGCTCGATGCGCAGACGGTGGGTATTATCTTCAACATCGAGCGCGAGAGCTTCAAGGTGCTCGACCAGACCGGCCAGGTGGTCATCGTCAAGCCGCACCAGATCAGCAGCAAGAAGGACACCAGCCGAGCTTTTGCGCTCGATCACGACGGAAACGAGATTCGCGCCGGCGACATGGTGAAGGAGGTTTCCGGACCCTTCTCGCGCCTGCGCAACGGCCAGGTGCTGCACACCTACCAGTCCATGATCGTCTTCCTGCACAACCGCGAGTACACGGAGAACGGCGGCGTGTTTATCGCACGCGCGCGCACGCTCGAGCCATTGGCGCCCAAGAGTGTCTCGACCAAGGCCAAGAAGGAGGGCGACGACCTGTCGAGGATGAACCCGGCGCTGTCGAACCTGGGTGGTGGAGCCAACGACGTGCGCGTCGAGGGTGTGAGGCGATTTGGTGGGCGCGACATGCACAAGGGCAAGAACGTGGCGATCATCAAGGGCCCCTACAAGACCTACCGCGGACGCATCACCGAGACGACGGGCAACATGGCGCGCATCGAGCTCACGTCGGTCTCGAAGCCCATCACTGTCCGACTCGACTGGCTCGTAGAGAAGGATCCCATCACGGGCGCAAGCACCAAGCTGACAGGCGGCGGCGGTGGCTCGCAAGGAGCCAGCCGCGGCGGCTACGGCGGGGGCAGCGGGGGGAG